CAGGAAGGGTTTACAAATAAAAGCTTGGCTCCTTGTGAGAGTGAGAGTGAAGTGGGCCTTTCTCACTCCTCATAGCCAGGGCAGAGAGGTGGAGGGGAGGAGGGGAGGAGGGGAGGAGGGGAGACATGCTCTGGCCCTGGCCCTGACCAGATCCTGGGATTAGGTAAGGAGACTCTGGTTCTGAGCTGGGGCAGTAGTGAGGTGAGGAAAGCACTGGAAACTTTGTGAAAGTCGAGCTTCTGTGCTGGAGCTGCTGGGCTCCCTTCTTAGAGGTCAACAATGGAGGAGGAAGAAGCAAAAACATTACAGTTGTTCTTACCCCCACTTCTCCATTGAGGGGGATACATTCCAAGACCTACAGGACATATCTGAACCCATGGACAGTATGGAAACTGACAGTATGTTTTTTCTGGAACATAAATACTTATGAGAAAGTATAATTTATAAAATAGGCAAAGTAAGAGATTAAGAACAATACTAGAAATAAAATAAAACCATTATAACAATGTATTTATTTATTTAAAACTTAAAATTACTTACTTCTGAGCTTTTTCATTTAATATTTTTGAACTATAATTGACTATGGGTAAGTGGAACTGCCAAAAGCCAAACCGTGGATATAGGGAAACTACTCTATTTATATTTTGACAACTGCCTACCCATAAAGGTGCCTGAGTGGATGTGAAAAGGGGTAAGAAATGAATAAATTCTATTAAGAAACAATTACTGAGGACTACCTTTAGGGATATTTCATAAAAATGCAAGTAATAGAGGGGGCAATTAGAGTTCTCTAGGCCACTGAGAAAATTGATTACAATTCAATCTTAAAGTTCTTGTTAAAGTGGAATCTCTATTGTCTTATGTCCAAAACAAGTCACTTGATGTGTTGCTGATAGCATATCTAAAAATAAATGAGCAAATTAACATTCACTTGTCATTCAGATTTAAAATTTATCATAATAAATCCCATTACATCCTCAAAAAGGCACACCTCAAAGAAACAATAAACAATGTTGTTTATTCTCTATAAAATCTATGTATCTGACAAATATCATGTTCAATTCTTCACTACGTTTAATGATGGAAAGCTTAGAAGGAAACAAAATACTTCCAAATCAAAATTTCCAACTGTGTAACTCAGAAAACATTTTGGACATTATCTATATTTAACAGCTTTTGAATTAACCCCCTGCCTGTACAGAAAGATGCTCAGAACAAACATCAACTCCTCATTTCTCCTCTCACCCCTCATCTGGGCACATTTTATTCATGCACTAGACGACCTTTTTTGGCCATTAGAACCATCTTGTTTCAGCAGTTAATTAACACAAGTACCATAATTTAATACAGTTAATGCTACTTGATGCCCTTTAATGTACCTTCCATTAGTGATATTATTGTAGTATTACCCTGTAAATTAAAATGAGATCAAGACTAAGAGAGCGGCTCTTTAATTAAGGTACTGGCACACTGCACTCGTCTATTATTCACAAGAGAAAATCACCCTGACTTACTGAAGCAGGACATCCATAAGTCAGAATTAGTCCATGAAGATTATTAGGTTTATTGAACAATGTAAGTACTACGGAGTCACTGAGATTGCCAATAGCTGTGTTTCCTCTTTTTCCTCCATTATCTTAATAAATACACAATGAGAGGGAGTAAATGGAAGCAAAGTAAGTATGTAGCAGAAGAGAAATAAATTTTTAATAATGAGATTATAGTTTGTCACTAGTAAAATAGCCATCAGATGTATCACATGCCCAACAGAACATAAATGCGACATTAGTCTAATGACAATTGGAGCTTCATTTTTATGTCAAACACTATGTATAAAATATACATGTGCATAAAGAAGTAGAGACTAGAAATCCACTATCAGTCAGTTTAAGCAAAGATCTTCAACTGCTTTTGTTTCATAATTTAATATTTCAAGAAAAAACATTGTGTATTCTCTGCCACTATTTTGTGGATATTTACATCTTGTTTCCATTTCACTTTCCCAAAATAGCCCACGTAAACTCCCACATTATGGTGGGCAAGGGGGTGTAAGTCACAAGTAGAAAAATATCATTATCATGATCAGATATAGACATGTAGAGGCATGTAAAATGTTGCAGGCACTGCACGGGATGGTGGAAAGGTTGGAGAGATGGGGATAGCATAGGAAACAGACCTCAGTTACGTTTTGGAAAGTTTAACAGTCATGATCGTCTTGAAAAGGAAACCTTAGAACTGTCCCTTAGAGGTCATCCATTAAAATCTATCTAGTCCTCCTGTACATGATTTGTTGTATAAGAGAAAGATAATCTAGACCATTCACTCCATCAGAGTTGTCAAGAGTCAAATGATTATATCAATGTCCACGCTGAAAGGCCCCTGAACCAGGCAATAGCTCAACATTTCCCTTTAGTGGCTCCATCAGGAGCAGATCTTCCTTATATAACTCAAAAGCTGGAGACATGCCCGAGCCATCAGGCCTTGATTCTTTAGTCCCTCCCCTAAGACTAAAAATACTCCAGCCATCTGGTGCTTGGTGCAGTACATGCCAGTACTGCATTTGCCCTAAGGAAGTTGGACAGAGTGTAGAGGTGACAGAGTGGAACCTTATGGAAGGTGGTCACCTCTACCGGACCTTTCACCTTGCCCAGCTGCTTCTCACCTGCTTGTACTTGACTGGTGATCAGGGAAAGACAGTGGAGGTGAGTCCTGGAGATGGGAGGAAGATTCCTCCAAACTCAGGCTGCAGTGAAGATGGAGAACACTACCAGGATGAGGTATAAAAGAAAAGTGATAAATCTGGAAGGATTCTACATTTGCAACATGCCACCATTACAAGAAGGTGGATCTGACCCAGTGGGGAATGCTTACAAATGCTTTCAGCTTTATTTATGTCATTCGAGATGCAGAGAGACAGATGGGGATAGAGGCAGACAAGAGCTTCCCTCACACCTCTGTCTGCTGGTTCACTCCCCAAATGCCCACGAGACTGGGAATGTGAGAGGCGGAAGCTGGGAGCCAGGTCTGCCATGGGCATGGCAGGTACCCAAGCACTTGAACCATCATCTACTGCCTCTCAAGGTCTGCGTTAGCTGGAAGTTGGAATCAGGAGCTGGAGCCAGGAATCAAACTCAGGAAAAAAAGCAGGCATTTTAACTGGAATCCTAACTGCTGGTCTAAATGCCTGCCTTGCCTTTAGGTTTAAAAATATATTTTATATTTTCTTTTAAATTATTACAGAAAAGAAAAAAAGCATATCCAGTACTAACAATATGACCCAACAATGGTTATCCCTTAGGCAAAAAGCTTGTAATGTTTGCTGTGTTTACAAGAGGCAAATGAGTACATGTGGGGAAGTCAGGCTTCTGGGATTTGTCCCCAAGAATAAGATACTGGAAATTGATAATCTTTTGCTGAATTGCTCCTGAGTGTAATTGGCTATATGTTGTTATAAACACCAAACTCATATTTGGGACCATGGCTGCATATGGCCCCATCATGCTACCCTGGCCCATACATGAACTGCCCTCTATATCCTGGAGCCCACAAGCTCAATAGTGTATCAATGCATGCTTCTCATATTTTGCTTTAAAAACAACATCATCACACACCATGAAGATCTTGGTCATAAGTTTTATAAAAGCTCCATAGCTTAAGATTCTTGATTCTTTCAGGAGAAACATGAAGCTGGAACAAAATTGATGGCCACCAGTTCCAGTTCCTTTTCCACAACTGAAACTTTTGAGCAGTAATACCCACTCTGAGTGGTAATACCCACGAATCCATGCTGCATATCCACTGTGGCTTTTACATTAACAGTGGTAACCCCTTCTTCCTGACAATACACACAGGCAAGGTAACCCTCTGAGAACCAGAGTCAGCATGCTTCTCCAGTGTCTGAGTTCTAGGCAGCATTAAAGGATGCTGGAAGCCAGTAAATTGAATGAATTCTGCCATATCTGCTTAAATTTTATGATTACTTAATTAAATCTACAAGAATATGTGTCACTTCTATTTTTATTCTCATATATTTTGATTTAAAGCTCTTGGCATTTTTAGAGTGATTACTGTTTTGCATTTCTTTTCCTTTTTTTTTTCTATTTCCTGAATTCTCCCCTCTTACCTTTAGTTTTCCTCACTTGTTAGCTCATGCTTCCATTGCCATTGAGTGGTTTATTGGATGATATACCACATGTAACGGTTGGTTGAAAACCTCTGACAGGGATCCTGGTTCTCTTTATTTAAGTTTTTCATTTAAGCATCTTCAAAAGTCTTAGAAAACTTGCTCAATTGTGTTTTAGTTATATTACCAAAACCAAAGATATCTCAAACTGTAACTATGAAATCACAATGCTGGTCCATCAATAACTGATCTACATTATGAGGAATGCCTGATTAGGTTCATATTTTAAATGGTATATCTTTTTAGTACAATGACATTCAAAAACTTAAAAGTAGAACTTGCTCCACATCAACAAATGCATTCTTCCTTACATGATTTTGATTCTGATTTAATATTTTTAAAGAGTCACAATTTTTACTGCTGAAAGTTTTAGTGTGCAGTATAAAAAAATATAAACAGACTGTTGTACCACACTGAAACTCTATCTTTCATTAAAATACAAAGGCAAGGAGTATTTTTTGTTTTCATTCCCTTAGAGAGCAACTGGCTTTACTCCCCTGGCTTATTACCTTAAAGACTTAAACCACCTCCTGACCTAAGGAGTTGTTCTGTATCAAATGAGATTTTTTTTTCTTTTTGGCTTTTGTTTAGGTTCTAAAGAATCCTGCCAGGTTCAGTGACAGCAAGCCTGGGATTACAAATTACTGCTGAGTACAAAGGGTTTCAAATGCCTGCAGAAACTACTTCCTCACTAGCGTTCCTGAGAAAATGTTGCAGCAGAAATTGACAAATGTCCCTTCCCAGCTGTGGGACCAACATGCTGGAGTTTCCTTTAGATCCACCCATTCCCATTCAAGGTTGGCAGATGTTCGCTTACCTTCCTCGCACCTTTATGTCTGAGATTGCATAAAAGTAGCGTGCCAAGTGGAGCTCATCGACAAATATTTCCCCAACAGCTGGTCTCAACAGCCTTATCCTCAGGTCTGTGACTGTGAAGAAATCTCTGAGTTTCTTGGTTGTATCCAGCTGTCCGTACAGGGAAGCCATATTGCGTAGCCGAGGTCCAGCAAAAAACGCGAACCTGTCTTTGATTTCAAAGTGGATTATTTTGCTATTTGTGGAATAGCCTGTGGAGTACTCTTCTGTACAAATTATTTCTAAGACCGTGTGCTGTGACAAATCCTTCACAGATTTGGGATCCATGTGAAACGCATCTAAGCAGTCTGTAGCGTAATACTGATAGGGCTGCCATGTTCGTCCATAATCCAGGGATTTCTCCAGGATCATTTGGTCTGGCCGCCCCGATTCAAAGGTGATCACTATGTTGTCTGTGAGCTCAATGGTTTTGCTCCAAGACAGAGTGATGTTCACTTGCAGAGGCTTGGGATACTCCTTCCAAGTAGCAGACTGCCAAAATGTGGAGGGGTGTCTTCCTTCAAAATCAAACATCAGCTCAGGGGGGTGTGCCAGCTCAGGGGTGCTAGCATCACATTCATTATTGCACATATAGGGGTTACCCTGTGGAAGAAGAACAAAGAGGGGTGTCAAAACACTGGGTTGACACACGTCTTGCCATATTGTTATTGCTAAGAGACCAGGAAGAGAAAAAACAAAGCCATTTTCAGTAAATATTTTTATTTGCCCTAACTGGATTCTCCTCTGTAGTAGAATTTATTTTTTTTTTTTTTTTTTTCTTGAACAATAAGGTAATTTTCTTTTTTCCTCCCATGGGCTTTAAGAAATGAGAATAATTTATTTACCCCATATATGTTAGATACATAATGTGGTCACAGAAGCACAAAGACACCAAGCAACTGTTTAACAGCTCAGCTCCTCTGCTTCCTCTTAGAACGATGCTGTAGAAAAGCAAAGGGACTTCCTCCCTGGCTCAAGGACACTCCTTAGCAGCACAGTGCTTTAAAAAGTCATTTTTCAAGCAAGGCTTTAGAACTAGCAATGAACCGTACATACCCATGTCCTGTTTAGAAAACAATGTCCCCATACAACATTCAGCTTCTCTTGGCTTTGCCTCAAATCCATCATACTTAACTAGGTCCCTGCTTCATAAAGTCTGGTTTTAAAACATTTACTTTTTTCACCACAAATCATTAAAATGTGGTACACTACAGGCTCTGGTATTGGGCCAAACATCTGCCATCCTATTAGCTGAAGATAAGAGGATTGCTCAGGACATTCTTGGAGCTGGGAGTGTGGTCCAAGTTATCAGGACAAAAAACTCACTACAATTGTCCTTCTGAATCCATGGGGAATTGGTTCCAGGACCTTCTGGGGACACAAAAATCTTTGGGTGCTCAAGTCTGTTATATAAAATAGTGGTGTAGTACTTGCAGGTAACCAGTATATATTCTCCCGTATACTTAAATCATCTCCAGATTTTCTATAATACCCAACACCACATAAATAGTAGTTATACCATGTTGTCCAGGGAATAATGATGAGGAAAAAAATAGTCTGTAGATGTTCAATACAAAAAGAACCATTGTAGACCTAACAATGTAGTACATGAACCAGAAGAGGTGAACAATGCTCACATGAGTGCTGGAGAGAAACTAAGTAGTTGTGAAAGGTCAGAGGCTACAGCAGGTGTGCCTAACATGGCTTCATTCCTATGGGTTCAGCTTAGTGCTCAACATATGGAAAATTCAAGTTTGCTCTTTGGAACTTTTTGAAAAATTTTTTTGGTGGGAGGCATTTCCCTCTCTGATTGATTAGTTGAATCTTTAGGTGTGGAGCCTTTGGATCCAGAGTTTGGAATCTACTCAAACAAGAGGGTGCTGCACATGAACTCGCAGCCACTTGATAGGTTTGTTTCTCTGTGCAGGCCTAAAAGCAGCTCTCCAGGGACGTCAGTTATTATTATTCTTTTAACAAAGGCTGCTTCCCTTACAGCTCAGTCTAACAAGAAACTGGATGTAAGTCATAACACCACTTCTACTACACTAACTCGCTATCCTCAGCTTTCATCAGTAGATTCTATGGTGAAAGACCTGCTCCCAGATTTTCATTTTCATTTTAAGAAAACAAATTGAGTCAACTATTGAGGTACAGTACTTTCTCTTTTTCCATGGGGATGCATTCCTGGACACCTGAAGTCATGGATAGTACTGGGTCTTATATGTGTGTTTTATCCTGTATGTACATATCTATGACAAGGCTTAATTTATAAACTAGGCACAGGACAGGGTTAAAAATAATAATAGATTGGAATGATTATAATACACTTGTAATGAAAATCATGTGAACACAGTCTTTCTATCTGGAAGTATCTTATTATACTTACCCTTTTTCTTGGGAAGATATGAGATGATATAACATCATTGGATAAGATGAGGTGATGAGAGTGAGGTAGACATTGTGATGTAGCATTAAGCTGCTATGTAAGGGTTACTTGAACACAAACTGCAATAACTTGATAGTTGATCTGATTATTAAGATGGCTACTAAGTGACTAAAGGTAGCATACACAGGGAGGATGTGTAGGACAAAGGAAAAATTCTGAATGGGGTTGGCGAAAGATTTCACCATGCTGTTCAGGTGGTGCTTTCATTTAAAACTTACAAATTGCTTATTTTTGGAATTTTCCTTTTAGTGTTTTCAGATCATGATTAACCACAAATAACTGAATGCATGGAAAATGAAATTGTGGATAAGTGATGGAACACCTTGATGGAACAAGGACATAAGGCTCAGCCATTCTCCCTCATTGCCCAAAGGAATGTATTCCTTGCCCTTGAAACTCAATTGGGTCTCACACCTTATTGCCTTCATACCCCACTCTGCATTCTTTTCCAGGTTCCCAAGGTCCTGCCCAGTTTCTGAAATTCCCCTCCCTGCTGTCCCCTTACCCCCACCCCCAGCACTAGCCCTCCTTAAAACGGCCTGGCCCCTGGGGTCGGGCCTTCTGCCACATGCTCCATCTTGCACACGCAGGCAGCTGATCACCCACCTCTGGGGATTTACTTTCTCTGAATAAATTTGGTCTGGCTGTAAATGTGTGCACTGCCTCCTCTCTATTCTATAACTCTTTTCCTAACACTATATGTCTCCTTTCTCCCATGTTAGATAAATACGAACAGGGATTGGTGAAAGAACCAACCCTCTGACATGGTCCTTGGGCTTTCTCTTGTAATTACGGTAAGAGTTCTTCATTCTTTTTCATGAACAGTGGGATTTTCATCATACCTGTAGCTGGGTCTTAGATAACGAGATTACACTTTAGATATTGACTCTCAGTTACTGGCTGACTCCTGTGAAATATAAGATGAACATTGGAGAATTGTTTGGTATCCCCAGAGGCAACTTTCTCCTACCTCATCAGCTAATGCTCTCACTCTCTCTTTCCCATTAATGTAACCAAATCCAAAAGTTGGCAACAGGTTTGGGGACTCAGTATAATTGAGACAGCACAAGAGAAAGAAGAGAAGGTACATTATTTGAGGAACAGAACTGTTTTAAAAATATACTCAAGAAATCAGTGATAATGGAAATGTTTCTGTACTTCTCTCTCCAATTTCAATTCCCTATTCCTGATTCCAGCGTCTGTGCCTATTTATAGGCATCCCCTTCACAATGAGCCAAGGGGGCGGGGGGTGGGGTGGGGTAGCATGGATAAGTTTCTGTTCCAGGTGGAATAAATCATCAAATTTATTATTATTTAAACTCTCTTGAGCATACCAGAGAACCAAGTGCTAAGCTCTGCAACCTGCAAAAGCTTTTTATGGAGGGCTATAAATGTTGTGGAATCTGTCAGGATTTATAAATTCTAAATATATGTAAATGTGCATTTTGCTGGAAAGGGTCAGATTTACACAAATCACACCTGCATTTGAGATTTATTGAAAAAATATTGTCATTTCAAAACCTGTCCACAGGTAGCCATCTGCACAATCATTAACATTGACGCTACCACCTTCATCTTGACAAGAGCCAGGGGTATGGAAACAAGAGGAATCAATTCCACAGGATACACCAAAGTGAGTTATCAGACATTTGTTTTCAGTTGTGTTGAAAGATAGCACTTGTGGGCCATTAGCCTAGCTAGCTGCACAGAGCTTCTCAGATGGTGACAGGGCATGGGTCACTGCTAACAAATCTGTCTTAGAAAGAATGTTTGAATTAATCTCTGTAAAAGACATCTATTCCTACATTCAGGGAAAGGTGTTGGTAATATCCAACATTTAGTTAGCACTTCCACATTGGACACTATACATATATTATCCAGGGCAATCTTTTTCATTGTCACCTCAAAGAAGAGGAAACAGGTACACAATGTTGAATAACCCGCCAGAGGTCATATAAAAAAGAAAGAGTTATGCCAGAACAACTCCTCTACCCTTGCCCTGATTTGCTCAACCCCCTAGTCAGTGGGGTTCCTTATGTGACAACCCTGTCTTAGAAACAGGATTGGCTGGTAGAATGGAAATTTCTGAGATTGAGTTTGGGAAACAGAGCTTAAGATTTTCTTGTCTCAGAGCACCCTGATGAACATCATCATATATCTGAGATACATTAAAAACCTTGCTTAGCTTCATGTAATACCTAGTTTCATAAACTTATCTGACCATGGAGTTGCTTTTCAGCTGATTTGCCCCCTACTTATAGTCTACAGATAGAGTTCCATAGAGGGCATCCTTGGAGCTTTTCTGCACCATATTACTCTTAAAATTGTAAACGTGTGTGGAGACACAACCCAGATACGGTTCTTTAATGAAGATGCGATCACAGAAAACACTTGATCTCTACTTTAGATCTACGTGGCTCCCTTCCATGGGGCTCATTGGAACAGCCAGCTCAGGTAAATGTCAACATCTGTGTTAAGTTTTTGTAACTGTGCACAGACCTGGTGCTCTGGACACTTGAATAAGGAGAGAAAAGTTTTACGCATTCAACATTTATTGATTATCTACTACATTACTACATTCAAGGTACTCATCTCGCTTCTCAAGATACAGTAGGAAACAAATACAAGTCTGGTTTCTGTGGTGCTTTCCATCTCAGATAGGGGAGAAGCAATAAACAAACAAACATGTTTTATAATGTCACGTTATGATAACTATTATGGAGAAAAATAAAACCAATTAAAGGGGGAAATGGCATTGGTGCAAGGGTAGTGGGTGTAATTTTATATGGGGAGGTCAGAGAAGGTCTCCCCGATAGTGTGACATTTGAGCAGATTAAGAACAATTCCCAATCCACGCTGCGCATAATCAGGAGGTGCGCCAGGATGGCGGTTTTGTCCTTCATCTGACTCTACTCTTAGTGATATTTTCAGCAGCATAACAATTTATTGAAATCGATGGGTAAACAAATCATTTCAAATGAGAATCTACACCAAATGACTGTAGATACCAAAAAAAAAAAAAAATCAATTGGACTGTTCTCCTTATTTCATAGCACTCATCCTCTTTTAGGAGATTAATGATTTGATGGCCATTAACATAACTTACTGAGAGGCAATGACATTGAGAGAAAATTAGCAGAGCAGGAAAAAAAAAAAG